AGTGGGGAGGGAGGGTGGGTGACCCTCGCAGCAGCCGGCAGCGCTGTTGGCCGGGTCCCTGCCGGGGAGGGCAGCCTGGCATCGGGACCGAGCGCTTTAGTCTGCGCCTCAGGTTGTGCTTCTACCCGCATCTCTTCCAAAGCCTAAGTGTCTTGGTATTGCTGGATGGTCGTATTCTTTATTCTCCTTTCCTTTCTTATTTTTTGGGAGGGGGGAGGAACGCGTCCTGAATTTTCAGAGACGGTACAACTTTGGTTTAGCATCACTCCTTCACGTGTCATCTGCGTGGCATGAAATGCATCGGTGAAGAACAAAGGAGATTGGAAGCGCAGTTAAGTTATTTCCAGTTTTGGGAGAGCAAAGGATGATGTTAAGCTAATAGGTGTAGAGAAAGCTGTTTTAACTGGAATGAGCAGTAAATATGTGTGTATAAAACCTGAAATGAAACACAAACAGGGAGTTTTGACAAGCTGCATCAGCAGCTACAAGTAGAAATCTGCTCACACGTCTCAGCGTCGTATCTGCCATAGCTTTCGTTGTGCTGCCTGTGTCTTTTGTGCTTGTTTGATGCCTCCTAAAAAGGAAGGGAAAGGAGTTACAGTTGACACTCGGTGGGTGCAGGAACGACTAATTGGATTGTGATTTTTTTGGCTAGGTCTGGTACCTAAGTCTGTCTGTGGTGCTTGGAAGCTGAAGAGTGTAGCATTCTCAGAGTTACCTGATCATCCTTCTTGTGGAGTCGTAGAGGCTCAAGATAGTTCCAGTAGAAGTGCAGAACCCAGGATAACCAATGTTAACTGTCTTGACCAATAGGCTTATTTTTCTGGCTACATTCCACACGTATCGACTGCATTAGTCAGATGGTCTCTTGCAATAAAAGGGTTTTCTGTTTTTTGAGATTTCTAGAGGTGTGTCGTATTTAAGGAATAAATAGTAAGAAGGAAAAAAATCAAGTATTTTTCTTTGTCCTTTTTTTTTTCCCTAAGGTGGCCCACCTCCTTCCACAGTCAGCCAGTCTGCTCCTGCGACCCTCCCTGGAAATCTTCCCTCTAGCAGTCCTTACACTATGCCTCCAGAGCCGACCCTCTCCCAGAATCCCCTCTCCATCATGATGTCCAGGATGTCCAAATTTGCCATGCCCAGCTCTACACCGCTCTATCATGATGCCATCAAAACTGTGGCCAGCTCGGATGATGACTCCCCTCCAGCCCGCTCCCCAAACTTGCCACCTATGAACAGCGTACCAGGTAAGAAACCCAAAGAAACATAAGCCCAAGCTATCAGGCAATGGGGTGATTTTGATGGAAGCTTCATCCGATGAAGATGGTGAGAGGGGAAAAACCTTGGAGAATATATAGCCGTGGGTCCTTTTAGAGGAAGGCAGTTGTAATTCCCGGGAATGGGGAGATGGAAATTCTCCCTGCAACCAGTTTTTCCTGCCCAGAAAGTGTCTGTTCTTCACAAAGTGTCTAATCTGGAGAACGCTTATGTATGGGAGAAACTTCCACTCAAGCAGACTGGAATTACTCGTGCGAGTGAAGGCTGCTTATGGGAATAAGGGTCAGACCTACAACATCTTATCCAGAAGAAACCATTCTTCCCCTGTCTTAAGAGCCTTCACAGGTGTGGGGGTTTGGTTTTCTGACACTGAATGGTCTGGTCTTTTCCTGGGTTTTGTGGATTGCCTTTGTCACAGAAAAGAGTGTTGGAGCACTTTCTCAACGCGTGCATCTTTCCGTATAGGGAATGTGTAACGGCAGGTCACCTCAGCCAGCACTGAGGGGAAACTGTCCTGGTCCCTACCCAAGAGAGTTAAAGGGAAAGTGAAATAAAACGTCGCCCTTTTGGGCTGTCTTGTGGGTGAGCGTGTTTATGACCAGTCCAGTCCTCGCTGAATGTTCATGAGTACCTAGATAATACAAGAGTAGGCCGTAGCCCCTCCACCCAGTGGAATGAACACAGCTGCAGGAGGGGGGTGAGCAGATGTTTCCCGAGAGCGGTAACAAATTGTTGGTGAGTTTACCTGTAGCTTTGCTGCCTGTTGCACATGGTAGCGATCAGGGTGGCTGAATATACCTCCGTGAGGCTGGCTAATTGAATAAGTTCGTGAGGATAGCTCATTAACCCCATTGATCGCTGCCGCCTAGTCTCACGAAGGTTATCTGATTTTTAAAAGGAGGTTCAGTCACCTCCCAGTGGACAAGTGTCCATGTGCTGATAATCAGCCACAGATGTGGTTGTTACTGCCTGCATCATCCAGCCTGCCAGGGAAGTAGTGAAGGCATGGATGGGATGGAGACCCCACTGGCAGAGCAGGCTTTAGTCCCTTTTTGATGGGGCAGCGACAAGCTGAGGGAGGCAGCCGGGCAGGTGGCATCAATTTTCTGGCTAAAATGGCATTTTCCAGAGCTGCTTCTGATGTTTGTTTTTCTTGTTTCTGTGTGTGGACCCGGTAACCTTGCAGCAAGCTCTCTGATAGCTTAGTTGATTGTTATCGGCTGTTATCTAAATGTGATTCCTTGTTTCTTCCCTAGGAATGGGCATTAATTCTCAGAATCCTCGAATTTCAGGTCCAAACCCAGTGGGTCCAATGCCAACCCTTAGCCCAATGGGAATGACCCAGCCTCTTTCCCATAACAACCAGATGCCCTCTCCAAATGCTATGGGACCCAATATACCTCCTCATGGGGTCCCCGTGGGACCCGGCCTGATGTCACACAACCCGATGATGGGGCACGGTTCCCAGGAGTCTCCAATGGTACCTCAAGGACGCCTGGGCTTCCCGCAGGGATTCCCTCCCGTACAGTCCCCTCCACAGCAGGTGCCATTTCCACACAACGGGCCCAGCGGTGGACAAGGCAACTTCCCAGCGGGGATGGGCTTCCACGGAGAAGGACCTCTGGGGCGTCCCACCAACCTGCCCCAAAGTTCGACAGATCCAGCACTTTGCAAGACTGGAGGCCCTGGCGGTCCAGACTCCTTCACTGTTCTTGGAAACAATATGCCTTCGGTTTTCACTGATCCAGAGCTGCAGGAGGTGATCCGTCCTGGAGCCACGGGAATTCCCGAGTTTGACCTGTCCAGGATTATCCCATCGGAGAAGCCGAGCCAGACACTACAGTATTTCCCTCGTGGGGAGGTGCCGGGCCGCAAGCAGCCCCAGGGTCCTGGGCCTGGCTTCTCCCACATGCAGGGGATGATAGGAGAGCAGACCCCGAGGATGGGACTAACGTTGCCTGGCATGGGGGGCCCCGGGCCTGTGGGAACTCCGGATATCCCTCTTGGGACGGCTCCGTCCATGCCAGGTCATAACCCTATGAGACCACCTGCCTTCCTGCAGCAAGGCATGATGGGGCCGCACCACCGCATGATGTCACCAGCACAAACGGCGATGCCTGGCCAGCCCGCGCTAATGAGTAACCCCGTGGCTGCCGTGGGCATGATCCCAGGCAAGGACCGAGCCCCTGCGGGGCTGTACAGCCACCCAGGCCCTGTGGGGTCACCTGGTATGATGATGTCAATGCAGGGCATGATGGGACCCCAACAAAACATCATGATTCCCCCCCAGATGAGGCCCCGAGGTATGGCTGCTGACGTTGGCATGGGAGGATTTAGCCAAGGCCCTGGAAACCCAGGGAACATGATGTTTTAAGCTGCTACCATAAGACTGGATGTTCTGATCCTTGTCAAGATGAGATTCCAAGTCCTGAGGGCTTTTTTGGGAGCTTCAGGAGTACAGTTTGGCCATGCAATAGGTGAAAAGAGACCAGAGGATGCTTTGGGAAATCTCGAATGTATGGAATTACCTGAAAAAAAAAAAAAAAAAGAAAAAAAATTATTCATTTTAACAGGTTGTTTTTTTTTAAGATTTATTTTTTAAAAATTATTTTTGTGGACTTGGGTATCCCGTGACGGCACCTGCTTTGAGAATCTGTAGCTGTATTTTGAGAATTGCCATTTGTCACAAGTTGCACCATTCTCTGTATGTTTACGTCCTTCGGACTGGCTTCTCCCAGGACTCTCGGTTATTTTTGGGGTTTTTTGTGTACTGTACTATATTGTAAAAGGGATTTTAGCAGAGACTTTAGTCTTTGGGGTGAGAGGAGAATGGGATTCTAGGCTGTTTACTTTAGGTGGAGAATCCATCTTCAGAACTTCGGACTATTTTCCTTCAACTCCAATGTATAGAAAAACCAAACTACGACCTCAGAGCAGAGTATTAATGAAAAGCACAAAAAGGAACTTAAGTTCAGTGAGGGGAATCTTTTAAAAGAAATAAATAATAAGTTAAGGACATATTTTTCAAATTATGGCGTGCTGTCCAGCACCTTCTGTCTCTCCCTCCCACTCTTTATTAAATAGGCTTCTCTCTCTCTCCGTCCCCCTTCTGTCTCCTCCTATGGCAGCTGCAATACATTGTGTTATTTTGGGGAGTAAATCTAGGAGAGCCTCTCCTCACGTGGGGACGCTCCCCACTTTTAGGAAGGGGCTGGACTTGGACACTGTTACATCCTACAGTAGTCTTCTCTCACTGTTTCCTATTCTCCTTTTCTTAGAAACCCCAAGTGATTTTATTAATGTGGGAGTGGAACAGACACTAAAAGTTATCCAGGATTTTTTTGTGGTTATTTTTTTTTTTCCTCCCCAGCGTAAAACGTTCTGTGTAACCTCCATTAAATTTGGTACAAAACCACTCGCCAGGGCTGTGGTGTCAGAAAAATAAAATATATTGTTTCTTACAAAAATGAACTGTCTTCTTTATCCACTCCAGTTGTTTCTGTGTACATCAGACATCATCTGGCCCTGTGACTCTGCTCTTCCTTGTGATCACCACCAGCCTAGAGCCCAGGCGGGGTAAGCTTCGGCAGCTCCTAAAAGCCTGGCCAGCAGGCAGCTGTGTGCGCCTCACTTCTCTTTGCTTAATCCTGAACTGAGCTGCTTCCTCCTCCTCCTCGGAGCGAGGATTTATTTTGGAACACCCCAGGGACCACAGTCACAGTTCTTCCCTTCAATTTATTGAGGGTTAAGGAATAGATGAAGCTTGGTGTCTTCGTCACTTCCTCCTGGTGAGTGTTTGCAGCACTACAAGGGACGTGGTGTTGAGCTTTCGTCTGCAGGGCACTGGGGTTGTGTTCCCCCCCCTGCCTCGGGGCCTTTGGATTGGGTAGTGTCTCTGAGTGCCGGCGCTCGGAGGCTGAGGGAGTGAGGAACCGATGAACTTCAATAACAAGGGTGAGAGAGAAATGGTCAGTAAGCAGATTTTTACCAAGACAACCCCGCTGGGTAAATTGTTGCTTTGCCACGGTGCTCATCGATCACTTCCTAATCCCCTGTCTTGTCAAACTTGCCTTTTGAGAGAATTTTGGCAAGAAGGTTTTATGGTTTTGCCTACGAGGAGTGAAAGACCGGACGCTGAAACGTGGGTCGGGAGTTGAGCCCCGCTGCTGGAGAAGACCAGGATGAGCCGCGTGTGGATCTGTAGGGCGGAGCGTGGGCTCCGTGGTCTTTTTTTGTAGGGAGCGTGTCATTTCCAGTAACAGCAAGTGGAAGTGAAGGATGGAGGTTATTTTGATGAGTAGTTTCCGCAGAGGGCTGGCTGTCAGTGTGAGAATCACGTGGGGAATGGCTGTCTTTTAACATACTTGTGCGCGGGAGTTTTTCAGAGTTAACTGATCCTTAATGGGTGGAAAAAGCACGGCTGTCGGCGTCCGGCTTACCGACGTTTCGTTGCTAGTGTTGCATGGCTTCGCTCATGTTGTACCCCTGGAGGCATGAAAGTCTCCCAGCCTTCTGTTGCCTGCTTCCAAATTCACCTTTGTGCTGTCATGCAAATTTACAGTGTTGTTTTTTTTTTGTGTGAGAATTACTCTTTTTTGACAAAGTGTAGGCTGTCTGTTGTGGTGCTTCCCTCTGACGAGACAAGCAGCGCGCCTGAAGCACGGGCTTGTCGGGGTTTTCGAGGGAGCTGACAGTGACACAGTGAGCGTTATTTCTGTAGAGCGGAGTCACCCCCTCTCTCAACGGGCTGCGCAGCTCCCGTCTGAGGGACCTGCACGGCAACTGTCACGGCGCAACCTTGTCAAGCATTGCCGCTTCCGCCGCAGGCTCCCGGCTGTTCTTACCGTGTCGAACAAAGCAAACTTCTCATTGTAGGAACAACCTGGAGGGTTTAGGTTTTGTAACAGCCTTCCTCAGGGCTTCCTATGCCTGTTGAGGTATCCTGAATAGGAAAGGGTTTGAGATGACTGCGCCTCGCTCTAGGAAAAATTAGCGTAAGGGGCTCACCGTTTCAAAACCAATTGCTAGCAAAAGGATGCGTTTCCAAGGCGTTGGATAGTGAAAGTTCCTGCTCTGTCCGTCTAACTTCAGGTGCTTGGTGTTTGGTGTCTTAACGAGATGTTTCTGAAAGGAAATGTGGAAGATGTGTGTTCCGCGCTGGCGCACGTAACCTCAGTGGCACTGGCTGATGGTGAAGAGGTGTGAATGCCTTAGCTGGCTGCGGTCAGGGAAAGAACCGACTTGGTAGGCGTAGGCTGAACTTCTTTGTTTTGTCCCGATTCTACGTCTCCCATTCTTGCTTCACAAATGAGAAAGCTTTCTAGCTGCCAGCCTTGCAGATTCACCTTGGGTTCTCTGAGTCAGGCTCTGTTCTCTCCCGCGTGCTTGTAATCCGTAGTAGCGTTGACTCAGCTCTGGTAGTCATGGTGCCGTTGAAGACGGAAAGTGGGGGTTGCCATTTTTAGTTTCCTTCTCCTCCCCCTCCTCTTTTTTTTGTGTGGTGTTTAATTTTTTTTTTTTTTAAACTTTCAAATCATCCTCCTCCACCTTTGTTGGAAAGAATGAAGTAGACTTTATTCATACATGCTTGGCTGCTCTTCCTCTCTAGTAACATGGGAGGAAACAGTCTGCTGTTCAAATTATCTCATCCCAGATGGCTGCGCAGCCGGAGCGCGGAGAGACTTAAAAGGTAAACCCAGCAGATGGTGAACTTCTGAAACGCGAAGTAATGCGCCTGCTAAATCAAAAGTTTAAAGTATTTGAAATCTGTTTGTTTTAAAGGAGTAGGCTGCTGCGAACAGGTCAGCTGTGATGTATCCTGGTAGTTTTAAGCAGCATCCAAATAAACTTGAGCTTTGTACCTGTATTGTGGGCTAGCTAACCGACCAAAGAACGTGAGGAGCAAGTAGCCAGCTGTAGGAGTTCAGCCCTGACGGCCTGGCGGTATCCGGTGGGTCAGATTTCAGAAGACAGACCAGGATGCGGGGATCTGATCTACGTCAGCCTTGCTTGGGATGTGGATACTGGTGGTGCTTCTGGTACAACACGCGTATCCTGACTTGGGGTGATGCGGGTGTCTGACCCTTCCTGAGGGCAAGTGTGAATCCTAAACGCTCTGCTGTGACTGCTGGAACGCAGCGTTGGTGGTGCCGGGGCCGGTACGGATATAGCATATGCGGGGCTGAATTTGGCGGTGCTTGGCGTGCTGGCCGGCGGCTGTGCTGGCGTTTGTTCCGCTGACAGAAAAGGCTACGGCTCGCCGGTGGTGGTCTTCTGTGCTCACGACGGCGAGTGCTTTCCTTGTGCAGCCTCCTGCCTGAAACCTGTTCCCTATTTTGGTACTTCTCGAGGGGAAATGATCCGTGTTTGATGTCGGCCTGTACTGAGTAGAGCACACGTCGCTGTATCGATGGGTAGCAATTCCTCACCAAAAAAGGGTGAGTTGTCTTGCACATGTGCTGTGTCATTTGTGGCGCGGTGACCTCTAATTGAATTTTTTTGGAGGTTTTAGCCGCCCCACGTAGTTCCCAGTCGCTGCTGGCAGTGCTGTTTGCTGAGGTAGATGTGCAACACCTAGCTTTATCGTGCTTTTTCCACTTTGAGCTTAAAGCGCGTTACCAGAAGTGTTCTTCAGGCCTTAAGAAGACCCAAACCGCTACCTGGGTTATGTTGGGTTTATTGGCGGCTATCCCAAGCTCGCTATTCTCTTGATCTCCTTTTGACTTTCAACCAGCAAACCTTTCAGTGCCGAGAGGCATAGGTCCTCGTGACTCGTTATGCACTTGGGTTTAGAGCTTATGATTGTCTTTGAGTCAGAGCATGAGCCAGGAAGGAAAAGTGATGCTGTTTTGTCTGGATGTTGGAAATTGTAAGAGGGGATGAGGAGAAAACAAAACCTTAAATTTGACATCTTTCTTGCCAATTACCTGCTATACTAACATTGCCTTAAATGAAACCTGGTAGATGAGGATAGGTTTGCCATGCAAAATGGGGAAGAAATGAGTCTTCCAGGTGTAAGCTGACCGACGTGAGTTAACGGTGCTGGACTGAAATAGCAGGGGAAGCAGACCAACTTGGGTCAGCAGCTCCAGTTTGAGGGAACCCGAAGTGGGACAGCCTAGGGTAAGAACGTTTTGGATTTCTCTTTCTGTCCCTTGGGATCTGTGTCTTTCCCGGTTCTTGCCAAGAGTCACCCTGTTCACGTAAATGCGCTAGTTCCTTGGGAGATTGTCGATTTCTGGAAACTTATGTTCTGTGGTCTCAGAAACACCCAGCTCTTCCCTGATACCCCTTTCCCAGACACCTCGCAGTTGTGCGCCTCATGTTTCCGTGCTCCGAATGCTTTAGGCCGTGCGTAAGGAGGGGTTGACTAGGGCAGAACGTGCTGTTCCTAAGCAAGGGTAGGCCGCTGACTTTTACATAATGGCATTACGCTTTCAGGCTGTATAAAAACTGGGTGGAAAATAGCAATGTTTTTGCTTTTTTGACAGCTTCTAATAGCAGTTCCGCGAGACCTCCAGCGATGTATTTAGTATTCAGATCATTCTGTTCAGCATGCGTCTTGTCAACATGTAATTGTGGTGGGGGCAGGCTAATGAGAGAGTAGAGGTAAATCCAGCCCACGCTTCTGGGAGAAGGGAAGGTAGCATAGTGCCTCCAGTCACATACCTGTCGATGACTTAAATTAACATCACTGCTCCCTGAGGAGGGGTAATGCAGAATCTAAACTGCAGGGCTGTTGTAGTAAGCGGTCCCCTTGTTTTAACCTTTACGTATCGCAAAGAAAGCAGGTCAGGATCCAAGTTCTGCTTACGGATTGAAAAATGGGGATTTTTGGCAACACGGTGATCCATCGTACTGCCTTACAGGGAAAAGCATCGTCATCTCAGCTAGGAGGGCTTCTGCGGGCTACGCTGGCGTATTGCTGTTTCAGCAAGCGCCGCCACAACCTGAAGTCAGTAGCAGCTCCCCGGACTCCATGCGTAAAGCATGTTAAGCAGAGTTCACCCGGAGTGCGTGTTCGTGTACTTTTCCCGCTGCTGGTTGTCTCGCGTGTCGGCAGCAGAATTTCCGTAACTGCAGGAGGTTGGGAGGCTTCCTGTCCCTTCGGAGGGGGTTTTGTGCACACAAGAACGCCCTCGAGAAGATGGGGTAGCGAAACGCTGAGCGATTCGGGAGGTTTGTCTGCGGAGCGCAACCCTCCAACGTGACGAGAGAGGGAAAGGCACGGTGGCTGCCGCAGTGTGCCGTACATAAAAGCAGTTGGTACGTCAAAGCTCTCCAGTCTGGTAGCCCAGGGCAAGCTGGGCTTCATCCCACAGTCCCAGCGTATGAGGAACAGGTATGTTTTCCCGCACACTGCTAAAGCAGCAGGGAAATTTTAAAAGGTCTGTGCTCCCCCTTGCTGCTTTCAGCCTCTCTCTGCTTTTGTGTGGCTACCTCAGAAGTGAACTCTGTTACGCCCCTTCTGTCATCTTTTTTTGACAGTGAAAGGTGACACTGTGCCACCCTCTGTCTGGTAGGAAATTGTCCCCCCATCTAAAATACCCTTAGAACAGGGAAGGCTGGCTGGAATATAAAGGAGAATAGTCAAAAGATTGTGACAATAAACACATTTTAATTTAAACCAACTTAATCGCGAGTCAGTTTGACGATGTCCCCTCCACTGGGGAGCACAGGTTACTGTACTCCTCTGGACTGACAGAGTACTGGGAAAGAACTTCCAGAAAGTCTTCGAGTGGGCAGAGACCTGCTCTACATCCTTTCACCACTTGCTCCTGCAAAGGCAAGGAGACACAATCACAGATCCGGTGCGCTGCCAAAGCCCATTTTTGCCGATGCGTTCCGCGGCAGGGAGGTAGCTAGTCGAGGCAGAGGTTCCTCGAAGTCTGTGCCTGAACTCACACTAGGTCAAGGGCCAGCTCAGCGGAAAACGGATCCTGGCTACCTTTGTGCAGCTGTAGGTGTCTCACTCCGTTACCTGGCTTGATGGCACGCTCAAACAAGCCTTGTTTCACAGCTTCACACGCGTGCGCGGCAAAACCCAGAGACCAAGGTTTGTGCGAGGGATTCCCCTGGGATCTTACCTCTCCATGGTAAGACAGGCGAACAAACCACTCTTTGGACTGCCGGTGCTGGTACAGTTCCAGGGTCACGTCTGCAGCGTAAGGTGGCCACTTGCCATTGAAGGTGCCCAGGGCCACCAGGAGAGGAATAAGGGTAGTGTCATGAGAGGCATAGAGAATGAGCTTTCTGATAAAAAGGGAAGGAAAAGAGGCAAACAAAGCACACCTAAAATGTTAGCTGTGTTCCCCCGTGGATAGACGGTAGCGCTTCTGCAGGCAGATGAGCGCGCAGTCTCTCCACCCCACACGTTCAACATCTCTCTGAACCAGCTTTTCACGCTGGCAGCAAGTCAGAATTTCTAATGATTAGAGGAAGAGATCTGCCCTGTACCTGGCTTTTTCAGCTGGAGATGAAGGATCTACTGCTTCTGTCATGTTCTTCTGTAAGGTATGGAAAAGGAGACCAATGCTCATCTGAAGAACTTCTCTATAAAAGAAGCAGAAATAGGTCTACTAGTTTTTTAAACCATCAAACCAAGTAACTTCAACCATCTGGGAACCTGCCTTTCTCTTACAGATCGGTAACACGCACCGAGTGCGGCTGACAACTGTGAAATGCAATTCCTATGGATACTTTTTGTTTGTGCAGGGATTCTAACGGGATTACAGGCTGGGAGAGGTGCTAACAAGCAGTCTCATGAGGTGTGGCCCACGCAAGGGGAACTCTGGCAACGCCTTGATGTTCTCCATGCTGTTCTGTTTCCCTGGCTGTGATTTCTGGAGGCACGGTTTTCAACTAGGGAAAAGGTGACTGGAGCTGACAGCAAAACGGCAGCCGAAGCGGTTGGGGTGTTTGGTGGGAAGGGACAGGATTCAGGAAGGTGGCAGCTGTATTTAAGAATTGGTTTTTATCCCTGTATTGAGCAGGGAGGAGCTCTTTAGACAAATTCTGGTATGATGAAAATCCCCTCTACCTGAGGAATACATCAGTGGGAAGGGAGGGTGAGTGTGACTGAGGCCCTCCTGGCTGTTGTGGGAGCGGGGGAAACCAGTCTTCCCGTGCCTGAGACCTCAGATACAAGTTAAAGGCTAAGGGCTGCTGCCCTGCCAGAAAAGGCCTGTGCCACCACCTGGGAAGAGCCAGAGAGCGCGGCAGCTGCGAACGAACCCCAAAGGAAAACGGCTGCTAGGTTAGGAGCTCAGCCACCCCAGCTAACAACTGCGGAGGAGGTAATGAACTGCACGCAGCAGCAGATTCCTCTGCAAGTAGTTACATGAGTGCATGGCCTGGCATCACCTCTTCCACTCGCGCCAACCCTTCACAGCTCAGCTGTGCGGGTGCCATCCCTGGGACAAGCTTCCCAGGCTGGAGTTCAGACTGTAGTTGTGCAGCTGCAAGGGCTGCCTCGCCTGGGCAGCCTCTGCGCTCGGGCTGGAAGCATCTCCTATTGTAAGCCCAGAACTCAGCCTCCTCGTTGTGGACTCCTTTTTCCTAGCTCATGTTCCTCACTCAAGGCCCTGGACTTTACGCCGAGATGGCCGAGGCACAAACCTCGGGGTGTGGGGGATAAGCCTAAGACAACCCCTAAGGCTGGAGGCGTGGATGCAGGCAGTCACCTTGAACCGTCTTCCAGAAGGAGAAGCAGCGAGTCAACGGACCGACGCTCAACTGTCTGCTGAAAGTTCCTCAGCGCGGGGCAGCTCGGCAAATCGTGGGCCTGGAAGAAGATGCGGCATAACAACAGGGCTCGCCCCGGCCTGATGCCAGCCTGAAAGCAGGCAGGTGACCGCCCGCAGAAAGCGGCTCTTCATGTCGCAGCACCTGTACCACAGTGCCACGCTACGGTATTCCTGTGAGGAGTTCCGGGATGGTTTTAAGCAGACAGACAGGCCCTACGCACCAAAGGGATGGAGGTTTGCTCTCGAGGATATGTTTCTGTGTGAAGGGAACGCGGCGCCTTGAGCTCGTCAGCTGGCAGCCAGACCAGTTAACGGTAACGCCAGCAAAAGGAGGTACTAAGAGGGGGGTACAAATATGCCCAGCTCTCAGTAGCAGACGCAGTCTGGCTCACGGGTAGAATGCCGGAACCAGGTGACTCCGTGCCCGGAAAGGGAAAGCACGGCAGCTTTGTAAGGGCAAGGCCCAACAGCGGTCTCAGCTCTACTTCACTGCACGGGGAAGAGAGGGCTCACCTGCTCAGCACGAATGTTATCAAGGAGGAGAAAAAAGTCCACAGACGTATCGTCATCGATCCCCATCTTCTCCTTAATTGTTTTCAAGTCATCAGAGATACCTGGCTGTTGCAGAGCATTCTTCAATCTATGCCTGTCAGGGAATTAAAAAAACAAAACAGATCTTTTCATACATCAGACTGGGTATCTTTTGGCTCTTTCTGTGATTCCAGCCCAGCGGAGTTGCTTCACATCAGTGAGTGGAAGAAGAGAAGCACCACAGGACACTGAGGGGTTCCGGATATTGGGAGTCTAGGTTGCAGCGTGGACAGACCCAGTGTCTAGAAGTCAAGGACTGGAGCTGGCTTTCTGCTCTCACAGGTTGGTGGCGGGGGGAACTGAGATGTGAACGCCTCAGAAGTGGTTCCCATAAACAAGGGCTGTGTATCAGTTAACAGATCTGGTCATGCTGGAACTGTACAAGTCTGTGTCTTCAGGCCTTTACCTGCCTCATGAAAGAAGAAAGGGTAGAAGCTTTGAACTGACTGCTGCAAGAAAAGGGAAACACCTTGATACTCACTTGCAGCGTAAATTCACCTCTCGCTTTGTTAGAAGCCACTTGCCTCCACACCGTTTTAAATTCTATTTTTAAATGTTTAGCTGAGAATATCCATGTACTTCAAGCAAAACATGTTGCATAGATCTTGTTTCCTCTGACCCTGATCTGTTGGGGAGGAGGTGGGAAGTGGTTTGCTTTTTATATTTTTTAGGAACAGCTCTAGTGTCTGTTTAAAATCAAATGTGCTGGAAGCTCTGGCACAGGTAGCCTGTGAGCTGAGGCAGTGCTTCTTACTGTAGCTTAAAAAAATACACCCAGATGTGGTGCTCGGTGGTGGGCCGCAGGGAGAGGGAGCGGAAGAGCTCGCAGTTTTGGACTGCCACTGTCCCGTTTCAGAGAGCTGATGTTGCTAGAGGCAGCTGTCCCCGCACCACTGTCAAGAACAATCCTTTGCCCGCAGCGCCCAGCATTACAGCAGGAGCTTTTGCAAGCGAATTCTGACAACTCCTGCATCTTTGACAAAAAATATGCTCATGTATAACCCACCAAACTGTGGTAGGTTTGCCTCTCTTTGCTCAGTTTCCACTCCATGCCCAACCTGGCACAGGCATTCAGAGTACCTGACTGCAAACATGAGTGTTCCATGTAGGATGTTCTGTATTTTACTTCACTGGTCTCTGTTAAATGTGTCAAGGCAGAGTGTATTTCAGTTTCCACAAGGTATAAATCATAGAATCACAGAATGGTATGGATTGAAAGGGACCTTAAAGACCATCCAGTTCCAACCCCCCTGCCATGGGCAGGGACACCTTCCACTAGACCAGGTTGCTCAAAGCCTCATCCAGCCTGG